GCCGGTTGAGCTATAGGCGCCGAGCCAGCAATTTTATTCTTAATAGGGAATACATAAACTCCTCTTCCTCCTCCTTCTCCAGGTATCTTCTTTTCCCACTGCATTATGATGGCTAAACATCAGTGATTTTACATTCCTGACATCTAAAATATATTCTGGGTAACAGATTAACACCGCTATCTAGGTAAAGCAACTAGTACATGGAAAGAGTGATGCTTTGTTCATATTTTGGCCACAGGTTTGCTTTAAGAAACAGTACTCCCTTCAGAATAGAAGACTTTATCTGCCTCCTATTTGATGGGGTTCAGAGCTCAGATGGCTAACTAAATAAACATGGGGGATTGGAATCTCCTTGGAGATACTCTGGAGGAAGTTCATATCCACTCCACCATGATTGGAAAGATCTGGCTCACCATCCTGTTCATATTTCGAATGCTTGTTCTGGGTGTAGCAGCTGAAGATGTCTGGAACGATGAGCAGTCTGGCTTCATCTGCAATACTGAACAACCTGGCTGCAGAAACGTATGCTATGACCAGGCCTTTCCCATCTCCCTCATTAGATACTGGGTTCTGCAGGTGATATTTGTGTCTTCACCATCTCTGGTCTACATGGGCCATGCTTTGTACAGACTCAGAGTTCTAGAGGAAGAAAGGCAGAGGATGAAAGCTCAATTAAGAGGAGAATTGGAGGGAGTAGAGTTTGAAATGTCTGGGGATCGGAGGAGATTGGAGCAAGAGCTTTGTCAGCTAGAGAAAAGGAAACTAAATAAAGCTCCGCTCAGAGGAACCTTGCTTTGCACTTACGTGACACACATTTTCACTCGATCTGTGGTTGAAGTTGGGTTCATGATTGGACAGTACCTTTTATATGGATTTCACTTAGATCCTTTATTTAAATGCCATGGCCACCCGTGTCCAAACATAATTGATTGTTTTGTCTCAAGACCAACAGAGAAGACAATATTCCTATTATTTATGCAATCTATAGCGACTATTTCACTTCTTTTGAACATTTTAGAAATTTTCCATCTAGGTTTTAAAAAGATTAAAAGAGGGCTTTGGGGGAAATATAAATTGAAGGATGATCATAACAAATTCTATGCAAATAAGTCAGAACAAAATCTAGCCAAATACCAGAACACAGCTGCAAATTCACTAAAGCGATTTCCTTCTGCACCCAATTATAATCTTTTAGTGGAAAAGCAAACACACACAGCAGAGTATCCTAGTTTAAATTCACCTTCTGTATTTCAGGCAAATCTTGACAATCACAATATGAAAAAGAAATACAGTTTGGATGAACAGGAAACTGAACTTTCTAATGAGATTTACACACTTAGTACTACCTGTAGTCATCTTCAACCCATTGGCTCAAATAATAATAAAGATACTCATAAAATTTTTGGAAAAGAAGTTAATGATAGCCAGTTAAGGGAAAAAACAGAAATTGATGGCAAAGACAGTAAAAGGAACTCTAGAGGTCACTGTTTTATTCCAGGTGTTGCTATAGATTTGGATGGCCACATAGGTCAATTGCCCCACACAGCTTTCTCAATGTCAGCTACCAGCACTTGGAAACCAAGGTGGCTTAGTGCTGCCTGGGGTCCCTCTACAGAAGATGAAAACCGGGGGTCACCTTCTAAAGGTAACCTTAAGGGTCAGTTTGGAGAGGACACAATTGGAACCCTTCCTCCTTCACAAGGAGACTTGTGTCAATCACTTGACATTCAAAACATTCCTGATTCTTCGGGAGAGTTGTCCTTTGAGCCTGAGTTTGTCAGAACCTGCAATAATCCTACTGTTAGTTCTTCAAATCATACAGCATCCCTGATGAACAATTTCAATGTTAGGCGGGTTCCCACAGACCTTCAGATCTGAAACAGCTGTTGGTGTTTAGATATTTTGTATATTATTATATATTATCGGGAAGTAGCTTAGAGGTGGTGGAACACAGACAAAATGGATAAGGGCAGCCCTACAAACCAGCTGTTAGGAGGGACAACTGCAACCTCATTTCAGAAAGGCAAGAACAGCTCTAATTTTGGATTGTGAAGGAATAGCTTGAAATTCAAAGGCAGATTTTATGACTCCCTCCAGAATGTGCAAAACTGATTTTCAGAAAATTACATGTTCAGAATCTAGGCTAAATGCTTTGACCAATTTCTTAGGAAATTGTTCTTCATCTATATAATCCTCCTTTTACTCCCTTACTAATACTTTATCTTTGGACACTGGGTTAATTTGTTTGCCTGTGGAATTTAATAACTTAGTTTCCTTCTAGACTGTAACCTAATGTATCTTCAGTGTAATCATATGTTGTTACCTAGTAAATAAAATCTTAGAAAAGATCTGTGGCTTTCTTTCACCAGTTAGAATGACCACCACGATTCGCTGCCAGTTTGGAGTCTGCTCCTCACGGGTCATCTAACCTCACCACTTTACTGACAGTACCATAGGGATGCTATAAAGGTTAAAATGAAAAATATCTGTATTTACTACAGTGCTTGGTATACAGTTAGCGCTCAAAAGTGCTAGCTACTGGCTAGCACATTACTCCTCACACTTTAGAGGCCCTCATCCAAACAGCCACAAATCCAGGAAACTCCAAAAGTAAAGAAGCTGAAGCCCAAACGTGCGATTCTCAACTCTCCTCTAAGCTGTCAGGAAATAGTGCGCGTTTTCAGAATGAGAGCGAAGAAGCCCACTTAAGGGTGACCACAACTTCCGAGGCCTCAGTTGAGAAAGACGCACCCAGTGCCACCGTCCGGCGATCCTCTCTACCGCAGCAGTCCCAGTGCTCCGGGGCCCCGCCTCCAGACGCCGTGTCTATTTCAGTCCCCACCTGAGACACTTGTCCCGAGTAACCAAAACCTCGCTTGTTCCTAAGCAACAGAATCATCAAGAGGACCGGAAGAGGAAGAAGAGATGCTGCCCCGACAGCCGGGGTGGGGGTTGGGGGGGTTGGGGGGGCGGGCCTACGCAGTCTCCCTCGACTTAGCCTGCCAAGGGGGATGCAGAGCGTCTTGGTCGCTATGAAAACAGGCCACACCCCGGAGATCCCGGCCCGTGGTTTGCAGATGCGCAGGCGCGCGCCCCCTTCCGCGCATGGGCAGTGTTGCTCCGAGCCCGCCAGTCAGGGTCTGGGGCGCCAGCTACGCCGCTGCCGCTGTCACTATGGCCCATTACAAAGTGAGGGGGGCGCGGCGTGGCTGGGGGCGTGCGGGCCGTAACCACCCGCTGGGAGGCTGAGGGTGGGAGTGGGGGCGCGCGCGCAGGTTTGGGGAGGGGGCCGAGGTAGCGAGGCGGAGGCGGGGTTGCGGCACTTGTAGTCATTTTCCTATTCCGGCCCCCGGGCTTTGGCCACTGACCAGCGCTATCTTCTCAGGCCGCCGACTCGAAGCGTGAGCAGTTCCGCAGATACTTAGAGAAGTCCGGGGTGCTGGACACGCTGACCAAAGGTGAGCATGGGCTAGGACAGGGCTTCTAGTGCCCTCGTCGTGCTTCTCGGCGCCGCGCCCGAGGAGAGAAGGGGAACAGGTGTGACCTGTCCGGATCCAGCCAGGTGGGCCTCGGGGTTCGGCGGGGACCGGCGCACGTTGGCTGCCGAGCGCTGGCCAGGGTGGAGTAGCCTAGCTCACGCTACCACTGACCGCGCTGGGAGTGAAACTCTTGCAGCTGTTGCAAAGTCTCTCCAACTTCCGTTGCTTTGCCTGAGCAGCCGCAGTGGACGTGTTTGCTAAAGACCTTCAGTTCCCAATTCCTCCCGCCTTCTCCTCGGAATCTTAAGAAATATTTTTCCTCTAACAAGGGGCAACTGGGAAAAACAAGATTTTAAAGGAGGCCATGAAGTAGCTGAGTGAGCCCAATCCCCACGTAGGCGATTCATAGCCAATTTGGCTGTGGCTTTTCAACCCGCATTTACTTAGTCTGTCAATTCCTACTTTGTGTAGATTTCATAATTTAAGTAGAATTACAGTTTAAAGTGCTTGAGGGCACATCAAATGGTTATATTGTTTTCACTTTTGAAAATGGTAGTTTACTGTTACACTGTGTCTCCTCCTTCGTGGCTTTAATATTTAAGTAGATGAGTAAAGTCCTGAAACGAGGATTCCAAGAGGTAGGATACAGCTTACTTCAGTATTTTAGCAATAATCTGGATGTCTGCTTTGTGTCACTCTACTCACTGGCTGGGATATCCAAGGATGTAGAATGGAACTGCTGGCAGGGACAAGGACCTGAATCATGTAAGAATAGCAAGTGTCTGGAGAATTATTTGGTAACTTGTTCCTTGGACCAAAGCAAAGATTAGGGGAAAAATTTGGGAGGAGGAGAACTCTGAGGTCTAAGTAGAAAGCATGCTTTTAATTCCTATGCATGGTTTGGTAATTGTGAATTGCTGTGAACTCTGAGTTTAGATACTACAGGTAGCTTTCTATCTCTTTGCAAATAAATTTCAGCAACTATTACAGGACGGTTCTGGAAGAATGGGGCTGTGTCATCTCTTCTAACCCCCCCCCCCACAAGTTCATTTATTATTAATTTTATTCAGGTCTCTGTTCTAGACAATGGGAATATAGCAGTGGGAAGAAAAAGTCTTTGCCCTCATGAGCTTATTAAAGTCTAATTGAGGGGAGACAGGTAACATACATAGCCAGCTAGTGATAAGTCTTAGGTTTCTAGGCTCCTAATGTTATTTAGGAGCCTAGAAATCTAAGGAGACTAATTTTATAATTAGACTTGCCATTATTTATTTAAAATTTGATTTTTCAGCTTCAAACATAGGTACTTTATACAAATACTTATTGTGAATAAAAACAGCAAGGTTAGGGGATAAAGAGCGATGTGTGGCATTTTTGTGCCAGAAATATGGTGTGTAGGGGGAGGGCCTTTATAAAGTAACTTTTGAGTAGAGATCTGAATGAAACTGTATATGATGTCAATAGTTCCAGGATGTATAAGGAGGCCAGCATGGGCTGGATGGAGTGAGTGAAAGATAGAATGGTAAAAGGCAGAAAAGTGACAGTTGGAGGAGGTAACTGACTACTCAAAGATGTACAGCCTGTGGCTGCATAAGGATTTTCCTTCATTAGAGATTGGAAATTTATGGAGGCTTCTTTTTCCCTTGCTCACATACACTGGAGTCTAATCTCTCAGTTTCCTTAGATTTCTAGGCTCCTAAATAACATCAGGCAGTCAACACAGTATCTATTGATATGATTTATTTAAAATTTGATTTTTCAGCTTCAAACATAGGTACTTTACATAAATTTAATTTATATTTTTTATCCAGCTTATTTCCAAGAAGATTTGAAACTGTAACATTAAAACACATAAGAGGATGGCTAAAGATGATCTATCATTTGGAACAAGTATGTTAGCTATTTTGAGCATTATGAGAACCTCTACAACACTGGCTGCTAATGCAAAAAAGGGAACATGATTGAGTAGAGAGTTCTTGTCTGACTAAAAGGAAATGTATTTCATCTATAGAAAAAGCAAAGAAAATTTAGCATTTATGTTATGTTCTGCAATTATCAAGTACTCCTTGTAAGTACCACTGACAGAAACTTAGGAACTGAAAGAACTGGGCTGGGGGAAGAGGAGGGAAAGGGTAAAAGTATTAATATATATGTCTTATAAAATTAGGATTCAGTAGAGATCAGGGGAAATTAATGGAAGAAGAAATGAAGATTTCAGCATATAATTTAAAGAAAAAGGTAATAAAGAAAAGGATTAAAGTTCTGTATCATACTGAGGGAGGAGCAGAGAGGGCATATACCTATCAATTTCTCAAAAAATAGTGCTGTTGGTGGGTGCAGTAGGTCACGTCTGTAATCCTAGCAATCTGGGAGGCCAAGGCAGGTGGATTGCTTGAGCTCAGGAATTTTGAGACCAGCCTGAGCAAGAGTGAGACCCCGTCTCTAAAAACAGAAAAACTAGCTGGGTCTTGTTGTACAAGTCTGTAGTCCCAGCTCCAGAGGTTGAGGTGACATAGTGAGACTGTCTCAAAAAAAAAAAAAA